CTCTCATGTGGGGGATTGTGAATAATTGAGAGAATTAAAATAATGTGGGACCCTCCATCTTGGTTTGTGTGTCAATTTTTAAAGCAATAACTCATACCTTATAATTGAAAGTAGGAGATGTACATGTGAAGACATCATCTGAAGGTATCAAAATTTGTCAATTTGTGGGAAAGGAAATTGCGTAGAAGGTTGGAAAATTGGCCAACTTGTGCAAAAACAAGAATATTTTTATTTAGGCAGGAGGAAAATGTACAAAACAAGAAGAGAAAAAGAGAGGAAAGAAAGAGAAAGAGAAAGGAAAAACAATGTCCAAATATCGGATATAAAAATATTAAAAAGAGAAAAATAAGTGATATTTTTATTTGTTTTAAGATATTCTTGTTCTTCTTAAGTGTTCAATTCTCGATTTCATTCCCGTTCGCCGGAGCTCGTAAATCTGGTGTGCTACAGATTTAGAGACGTTTGTCGTTGTATCTTTGGGGAAGTTACGTCTGAACCGTTAGCTGACACACGGGGCGTATTCTTATTGCGGAAAGAGTTTTACTCGCCTCGGCTAAAATCTTTCTGTTTTTTCAGTTGTAATTTATTTTTTTAGTTCAATTGTAATTTTCTTTGTAAGAACTGAAAAGTACATATCATTTCGTAGGATTCCCGAGTAATTTCACACCAAGTATCCAACAGTTGTTTCATGTTTTTTACTACTTTAAATATCACATGAAAGTAAATTAACCAACCTTGAACAGTAACCTAATTCATTCACCTGATTGATTCAGATAAATTTCACAATTTTTCGTACATATCTTTAATATTTTGAAATAAAAAATATTTATGATTGTTGTAGTAAATGTTTATACAAGTGAGAATATATTATGTTATAAATTATATAAAGGTAGATTAATTATTTCTTGCTTTATGCATATTAACAAAATAACATAATATATTTTAATATAAAATTAATTGATTGATTATGCAATTGGCACAATTACATGATAATAAGTTACTATATTGCAGATATATTTTGCATATCAATAAATATTTTTGTAGTATTCATAAGCTATTAAATATCACAAACGTATGGTGTTGTCTATTCCAGATCATATTCAAGCCTTGTTTTTCACCTGCGGGTATTTATAAGGAAGAAAGTGTTTTAAAAACAAAGTACAAATCTCGTGCGATGCACATGTAAGAGATATTCATCAATATTTACAGATAAAAGTTCTCATTAAATAATATTTATAAATTAAAAATATAAAGTCAATATGTAATACAATTTACTTATATTAATGGATTGAAAATGTTATATGAAATTTAAATCGTGCAAAATTATATAAAACATGTCTATTTAAAATTAATACACAACTCATATGAGGCATGTAACAGATAATAACTACATTATATTAATATATTTGTTTTAGAAGATTTTTTCATAAATTCGATTTGACTACAATATGATTATATATAAAACTTATTTTGGTGAAATGCTATCATATATTTAAAAATTTATGTGAATAATAAGTATAGTTATAAAACTTATATTGCTCCATTAACTATAATGAGCTATTTTTGTATAAACTATCCAAATAAAAAAAAAATATAAGTAGTTTAGTATATTATTAATTACTATTTGTTCAAAAATATTTTTGATTTTCAAGATGAATATATATCAATTTGCCGAATTATTATCAATATCTTATGATAAGTTATCGTGGGAATATGCTAATTTAAAAATACACAACTATTCATCGAATGATCTCTTGAAAGTTTAAATTACATTCATTTCAAAAGTTATCTATTATATTTACCTAACACGAACACGCATTTTAGAATTCATATATCAAAGGTAAAGAACTTAGCTATAAGAAAATTATCTTCTAAAATACAGACATTACAAATAAGATAATTTCTAAATAAAGATACATAATAATTCACTTAATTTATCGAAATTAAATGCAATCATAATTTGTCAAGCAATATTTACCTAACATAAACATACATTACAGATTCATGTATCAGAATTTAAAGAATTTATCTACTCGAAAATTTTATCCTAAAATTGGATCCATAACATATTAGGTAATTTTTTAAAAAAAAAATATATAGTAATTCACCAAATCTTTCAAAATTAAATGAATTCCAGAATTTGGTTATAATAATTTAATTATCAGAACATGTCTCTCAAAATTCGTTTATGAAATATTTACCTTGTATTTTTTATTCTTATTCAGATGATTTGATTAAACTAATATTGAAATAAAAATAAATGATTTAAAGACAAAGTAAATAAATAATTAATAAACAATATTGAAAATATGTGAAGTCGTAATGATAAAATATTAGTGTGTGTGGGTTATTGTATTGCACCACATGAACATGATATACAATTTGGTTAAAATTTTGAAAAACAGATTTTCAGCTAATTGAAATACTAATTTTTTTTCAATTAAGGAATTGACTTCATTTTTTCTATAATCAAGATTGAAATATGTTTCCATAATAATTCAATATTTCCATAGATTAGAATCTTAATATATTCCTATTTATGCTAGTTAGTTTCGTTAAGGAATAGTCTTAAATTAAAACAGAAATATGTTTTCATATTAATTAAAATTAAATATGGAAATTGCGACTAATATATTTCCACAACTAATAATTAAATTTTTTAGCGGGAAAAATTTGTTATTTTAAAAATAATCAAACATTTATATATATATATATAGATATAGATAACCTAGGAAAATTTGTTATAATTAGTATTTCATATATTGTTAAACAATTATTTATAACTAGTACAGATCCCGTGCGATGCACGGGGTACACAAAAATCATTTATCAAGTCTTATAATTATATAAATGAATAAAGAGAAATGTACGAGATATATATAGTATGTGACATGTAATAGGCCAAAATGTGAACACAGATGATGCACAGGGTGCACAATTTTAAGGTCATTTATTAGTACAGAATCCGTGCGATGCACGGGGTGCACAATTTTCTAGTATGTGTAATACAAATACATACTGTATGCACGTGATTGAAGCACTAAATGAGTTATTTCCACATAGCTTGCTCGTTAAGTAGCTCCTAAACACGGGTGCACAATTTGTAGTACGTACCATAAAATCAGAACAAATTTCCATACAATTAGATAATAAATTAAATAATAAATAAAGCCTTTTTTTTATTTTAGTAAAGATTTTACGTACTTTTTTATTTCCATCCAATTTTGTAGGATGCATTAAATATTGATTAGGTTTTATATGTAAAATAAAATAAAAAATAACTGAAATAATTTTACGTGTTGCAATATTTTATATTTAAAAAAATTAAAAAAAAAATCTTTTACTTGCATATCAACTTTTTAGGAACTACATGGATATTCCTAAATTAATATTGCATACCCAATATCTTAGGAACTAATTAAAATGCTAATTTGATTTGCATACCAAAAATATTAGATGCATTAATTAAATATTTGATAAAAATAGCAAATCATTAATTAGGATTGACTATTCTACATACTACATTTAGTAAATGGTATAGCTTTTAATATAAGTATAGATTCAATTTGAGCACTTTTACAATAATCATTATAATAAAAGAAATTTATTTTCCTTATACTAATAAAGAAAGATTATTTTCAAGAAAAAAATACAATATTAAAAAGAAAAAATAAAAATTTCTACATAATATACTTTTTTAGTAACAAAAAATATATACTCATACTATTATACTATTTCAAACAAATATCAAACCTTATACACATATACTAGTACAGATCCCGTGCGATGCACGGGGTGCACAAAAGTCTTTTATCAAGTCTTATAATTATATAAATGAATAAAGAAAAATGTAGGGGATATATATAGTACGTGACATGTAATAGGCCAAAATGTGAACGCGGGTGATGCACAGTGTGCACAATTTTAAGGTTATTTATTAGTACAGAGTCTGTGCGATGCACAGGGTGCACAATTTTCTAGTATGTGTAATACAAATACATACTGTATGCACGGGACAGAAGCACTAAATGAGTTATTTCCACAGAGCTTGCTCGTTAAGTAGCTCCTGAACACGGCTGCACAATTTGTAGTACGTACCATAAAATCAGAACAGATTTTCATACAATTAGATAATAAATTAAATAATAAATAAAGTCTTTTTTATTTTAGTAAATATGTTACGTACTTTTTATTTCCATCCAATTTTGTAGGATGCATTATATATTGATTAGATTTTATATGTGAAATAAAATAAAAAATAACTGGAATAATTTTACGTGTTGCAATATTTTATATTTAAAAAAATTAAAAAAAAAAATTCTTTTACATATTGCATACCAACATTTTAGGAACTACATGAATATTCCTAATATTACATACCCAATATTTTAGGAACTAATTAAATGCTAATTTGATTTGCATACCAAAAATATTAGATGCATTAATTAAATGTTTAATAAAAATAGCAAATCATTAATTAGGGTTGACTATTCTACATACTACATTTAGTAAATAGTATAGCTTTTAATATAAGTATAGATATATACTAATTTTATTAATTAAATATTCAATTTAAATATTTAAATTGTCTATAAATTCAGCAAGGCTCAAATGGGGATTTTAAATAGCCTTATAGAAAAAAGTAAAAACTAAAATTAAAAAAACAATGGGAATCTCATTACTCCATTCACAAGAGTCACCCACTAAGACAATTGCATTATAACAAAGAAAATTCATCTGACATATAATATTTCAAGATCTGCAAATAAATAAAACTGTCTCAATGTCACACTTTCCAGACAAAAGAATTCCTTCTTCTTTCTTCCCTCCCTTCCATCAAATTCTCCCCTAAACACTAAAAAAAAAATCACTGAATAATTTTTATGAGGGCTCAAACAAATTAATGACATGGCATTCTGCAGAAATAAATTAAATTGAACACTATATAAAACTTACACAAAAACTACCACAAACCAAGGCAGCCGATAACCGAACGGCCGCTACTTGGCCTCACCAAGCTCGGCATCCTTGAGAGGGATCGTCTCTATTCCCTCCTTCAGCAACCTAAATTCTTCCTCTGTCAAGCTGCTTTTCGCATGAGAAATCAACTTGTTGTTGCCTTGCTGCTTTTCAACTTCCACGGCCCAACTGTAAATGATCATGCCAACAACTGCAACAACCATTCCCAATATGTTCTTGAAAGTCAGTTCCGAGTCGAACAGCAGCCAACCCAACGTGAGGACACACACGGTTTTCATGTGGCCCAAGACTTGGAAGGACACAGCAGAAAAACGTCCGATGCAGAGGTATTGGCTCACATTGCAGAAAACGGCCAGAGAACACGAGAGGAGTATGCATAACTGCATATAATAAGTGATACCTCTAGTTAGTTGGGTATATAGAAAGTTGTTCAAGGTTTTGGCTGTTATTGTATAGATTCTGTGAACTTACAATGGCTCCACCACCAAAATTGAAGTCGAAAATCAATTTTCCGGAAAGATAGTAGTCGATAATCGGGCCCAGCACAAGGAGAGAGCAAGCCTGGATGGGAGCTGTTTTGCTCAACAGTTCAAATGATCCGATGGAATACTTCTTCTGCAGGGATCCTATGGACTGCACGCGAAGAAATATTATTCAATCATTATTCACAAACAACAACTATTAAATGCAAAAAAAAATTATATAGATAGATATTTATTGTCGTACGCGTTTAATCATATTTTCCTTATCCAGTAGCATGACTGTAGGATGAAAACATATTTGATATATGTTTTTTATTAAGTGATTAGAGGTTCGCTTACTGGATGATGATATCTTAATTCTACAATCTGTTTTGGCTTGGGATAACATATTTCGGAGAAATAGTTCATATTACTAGTGAGGTTATACCTAATACAGAATATAACAAAGACAAAAGGGGAACCCCGAGGCACACAAGTTGGGATATGAATCACAAGTAAAATACAAAAAGTAATCAAAGATATTTCTATTCCATTTTGAAGGCCTCATTTCAAAATTCGCCATATACTTCCTACTCATTTGCCATATATAAAGAACAAAATATGCAAAATCACACCTTTGCATTATATTGTCATGTAAAGAATTAAGAAATAGAACGGTTCACTCACAATTTGCTGTAAAGATGTTGCAAAAACTGCCACACAAGCACAAAGAAACCCTTTGGCATTCACTTTGACATCGGTCACAGTGCAAACGCCAACGCCTATAACTACAACCACAACAGACATTTTAACTTCATTTGAGTACTTCTTGTTGTGAAGGATCCATTCCATGACGCAGACCACAGGAATCATGCTCAGCTTTGAGATCTACACCAAAATGTAATCAACAATCCAATTATTTCAGGCATTATGAATTACAATAAATTTCAGTGAACAAGATGAAATCCACAATACAGTTGATAAGTTTTGATAAGAAGCTGCTACAAGTCTTCCTCTAGATCATGATCAGAATTAAGCAGAAATACAAATCACCAATATTTTTACATTGAAAATAACTATCTTATAAGATTGATTTTTTTTTTACTCAAAGCACTTAATAAAAAATTTAACAAGGGCAAAGAATATGAGGCAGCAGAGTTAGAGTCATAAATACGCTTTTACCAAATAAAAATAGTACGATTCAGATTCAAAAAGACATATTACTCAACTTTCCTATCACACTGCTACACTAATGTAGGAAATATTTTACAGCTTGGAAAAATACGAAATTTTCATTATTCGATTATGAGAATGTTTCGGCGACTAACTTAGTAAAGGATATTAATAGCCACTACCCATCCAAGCACATAAGTAGAGCTTTATTGATACCATACTTGGTAAAATCCGACTGAGTTTAGCATGAGGCTTAAATTCATCCCTGTGATTGACAGATTTGCTACAATTGAGAACCAGAGAAGTTCCCAAAAAGGCACGTGCTTTGCTGCAGACAACCCCGTAGCATTTGATATCATACCAACAAGTGCAGTAACACCAAAGTGAAAACCAGTTAAAGTTGTCGCTGCACAAAGCAAAACCGGAAATAGATATGATGGTTAAAAATAGTTGTGATAAAATTGGAGTAACACCCTCGAAGGATACCCGCATCATAATTCAGCATTTGGAATAGTATCGTAAAGTTCAAAATATATTACCCCAGCACAAACAAGAAGCCTCAAGTTACCAGATAGAGATACAGCAATTCAATAAGAAGATTATAGTTATCCCTTCCCAAATCCATAGATCATCACTATTAATCACAGAATCTATAAGGCACATAGCCATTGATTGGCAACTGATCCCCAATTCAAAGATAAAGTTACTTGAAACCAAGAACATATGAGATATCAGATATGCCGTAAATGAACTTCACAAAAAATGCACATCGGCCCAATGGTCAATCACAGAGCATGAGGAAAAAGTCATACTCCATATTGAAGCTAAACCACATGACGATAGAAGAAGAAAAATCCTTCATGCAATTGAAGTTCAAAACACAGAA